CCGTTTGTTTTTGCTGCGTGGGCAAGGCTACGTCAGTGCTCAGCAGAGCTGCTCGCTTCTTGCCTCCTCAGGACTTTGCTTACTGCCTTTTCTCCTCTTTTTCCTCTCCACGCAGAGGAAGGAGACTTTAATTTTGCCCCAGAACTTGCACAAAGGTGTTACTGGGGAGCTTCCCATCTTCATCACAAGTAAATTTTGCTACAGACTGGCTCAGTCTAAGGCCTGGTGCCATAAGTGGCCTTTGGATGCGAACCTGAGAGACTGCTGCAAGTGGCAGGACAAGCTAGCCATCCTTCTCAAGCTCCTGGGATGATTCCATGCATTTTATAGCATATTGTGGCTATCCTGTTACCTAAAAAATCATGCCAGGCCAGCCAAAATTCTGCACAGTTTCTGTGTTTTCATACGGGACATGCTCAGCTCCAGCAGAAATGTGATCCTTTTGCATTCTTCCACTGGAACAGCAGCAAAAGAAGTCACAGTTTTCCTTTAGCTGTGTTAACAGTAGCAGAGAGGACATAAAACTCTCTTCCAAGTGAAATACGACTTTATAGTTAAAATTAAATGTTTTTCTTCTCACGTGTCGCCACTTTTACTGCTTTAGCTCTTACTTCTCATAGAAGCAAGTCTGGTTCTTAATAACTGATGAGTTTATGATTTCATCTTTTTTTCCTTTGACATTTTTTCGGCATTGTTTGCGAGACAGTTCACAACACACTCTTATTTTCTTCTGGGTAAAATATTCAGTGAAACAGTGTAAGTACAGTAACGCTGCAAGCAGAAAATGGTCAGCAGACACGTATGTCACGCTGCAAATGTGCATTCTGCACAGAATGCTGCAGAATGTTAATTCCTCTCAGAGAAATAAACTCACCTTCCAGGTACCTCTGACACTGGTAGTTGTGGGATCCAAAGCCAGGCTTCTCTGAAAGAAAACTACATTGGTAGTTTAACAAATCTTAGTAAATTTACATGGATCATTGTTAGAAAGGGTGCAGGTTGTGATTTCCACAATTTTTTTTTCTTTTTGCTTTTCTATGAGTGTCTCCTTTTCATCTCTTCCTCTTTAGAAATATCTAATTTAGGTAAAAAATTGCAACCAATAAAATATGATTTTGTTTTTATTATCCTTTCATAGGTCAAATTTAGGGAAAAAAATGGAGAGCAAGGCCTAGTTTAGGATCATTTTTTCTCTTAACAGATGTCCGTGAATTTTGCTTTGAGAAGGGCATTTTTTATTTTAGTGGCAAAACAAGCTCATGTTTGATCACGCAAGATATGACTCTTTGGATTTGTGTGAATTACAGTGTAGATAAATGGGAAAGCAAATGCAGGTATACATTGTGCAGCAGTGTGTGATTAAAAAAAAAACAGGCTCTGGATCTTGAATCTCGTTTCACGTGATTCTTCCGAATTTTCCTTGGCAGCCGCTACTTGAATTTTGAAGCCACTTTGCCTTGAGCTGCACTGATACTTACTCAAAATGAACCAATATTTTAAGGTTTACTGTCATTTTCACTGAAAGAAAAGTGTTGTTTTCCCATTTTGTAGTTTCTTTTTTTGCAGGATGTGTACCAGGAAAAACGGCTGCAATGAAATAAATGGTGCGTGATCTGTGTGTGCAATGGCCTCTGAGCAACCTGACTTCCTTCCTGGCGGTGCTCTTGGAGATAATCCCACTGGGGGACTTTGAGATCTCTGGCTGTAAAATCCTCATCAGTGTGATAATATTGGTCGGTTTTGCTGCTGGAAGGAGAAGGCTCCTGGGAGGTGCTCGGAGGTTCGTGGGGTGGGAAACTGCCCAACTCGTTCCAGACTTCTCAGGCTGATGAGCCTTTATCATCCACTTGAAAGGGAGTTTATCCCTGTTTGAGGGAATTAAACCCTCTATTTAAAACAGTTGGTTGAAACTTTTAGTTGTGCACTTTTTTTTTAGCCTGGAGTGAAGTGTACAAGATGTTAAGTAACTAAGTAGGTTGGGTGCTTGAATCTGTAGACTCTCTTGTTCTGATGGAGCTTTAGACTTCGCTCCGGAGAAGGACCCCACAGTCGTGCCCGGGTCGTATTTTTGGCAGGGAGCTGCTGTTTCTAGCAGGTGAAGGCAGTGGTTGTCCCACGGCAGCGAGGGTTGTCTTTTTGGTTTTAAAAACCAAAACTACAGGTATGCTGTGTGGCCTTCAAATTTCCATTGGCAGATGGAGACAGATCCCTCATCTGGCTCCCGAGAGTGGATGCAGGTTTTGATTGATTTAAACACGTAGTGGCAGCGGGTGGGAAGCTGGCTGCAGGACAGCTTTCCTCTGCTGCCCTCATTGCAGCTGACTTTAGCCCTTTCACCTCCATCTGCCTGCCTTACCGTCTTGACCTGTCCTGGGATGATGGTAGCAGCAGTGGTAGCAAAAGCAGCAAGGCATCCGGGTTCCCTTGGACGTTAGGGCTTTCTATCCACCTTTAGGTTTTCTTCTTGTCACCAAGCAGAACAGACCTATTCCAGCATCCTGTTTAGATTATTGCCAGTGTTACTGTTTATTATGGTGATAAATACGATTTTTTGCTGTGTTGCTGAGTTGTATTTCTTAACTTACTCCGTAATGTGTGTCACTCAAAGTCTTGATCTCTTCGTAATCCTAGTCATGGGTCTTAAAAAGGCCAGGGGTGTGTGCGCGGATGTAAATAATACATGAATCAGGCTTGACACTGGTGCTGGAGTAGTAGTAGCAGTAGTTCTAAACCCCTTCAGTAGGAGTAATGCTGCAATGAGAAGGTTTGTTTATCTAAGCTTAGTAATTCATTGTGCTCAACTCTTGGTTTTTTCTTTTGTAGTTAATGACTTTTTTTTTTCTTTTTAATCACCTTATTTTGGGGGAAAGTATCTGAATAAGCTTCTTGGGATGTACAAGTATTTTTTATACTACCTCTATTAGTAATTTTCACATAAATTGAATCCTTGACAGAAGGACTTGACTTAGTGGATAAAAAAGAAATCTAAAGTAGGGACTTTCTGCCCTTTGATCATAACGATTTAAGAGAAACTACTAATATAAAATGAGAGAAGTTCTTACATACTGTGCCAAAATGAAGATTTTCACTTCCTCTTTTTGTGTGTATGTGCAATCCCTTAAGTGTTATTGTATCTGTCTTGTCTTTTTCTTTTATTCTATTTTAGTGTTTTCTAGTCTTTTCTAGTGTTTGTCCTTGGAAAATTTGCATGACTTCATATTTCCTCAGGATTAACTTTGCCCCTCTACATGTAACACACCATGCAGTTAAGGAGAATTTTTCGTTGATTCTGCAGTTGAACCACATTAATCTGTGGGAAGCAGCAGCTTAATTCAGCACTGGGAAATGATCTTGTTTGCAAATTTTAGATTTCCCTTAGAGCTCCAAGTATAATTGGTTGTTCTTTTTCTGACAAAGCCACCCAATTAAAAAACTGCAAAGCTGAGTAAGATATAGATTCTTTGTGTGTTAAAATCTGCTTTGGCTTTTTATTTTATTTGCTCATATATGGTAGCTTCTACAGACTTACTTCCAAAGTACAAGTTGTCTGAACTACTATCTTTTCTAGTGTAACAAATTATGTTATCAGCATTGTTTTCTTTCCAATTGTCTGACTTTGGTTGCTATTTAAACTCTCATTACAGAATTAAAAGAATTGAAACCTCCATTTTTTAAAGTACAGAGGATAGCACTGGCATGAGCTTTCCATTTCATGCTCAGTTTGCTTTTTGTGAATTTGAAGGAATCTGGATTTCTTTTTGGAAAAGCATCATGTTGACCAAAAATGGAAGTCACTTTGTATTTGAATGATGTTTAGTGCAAACGGTCTTCCTAGGCCTTAGTTAGAGCAGAACTTCTAGTAAAAGAATTAATCTTGCCAGAAAGGTAGAGCGTAAAAGCTCTCTCTCTCAAGCATTCATGCTGAGCAGACTTTCATGCTGAATAGGTGACGTATATCTTGCAGGAAGAAAAAATGTGTGGTGTAGGACATTATTTCACTTTATATGAAAAGACCATGTAAGTTTTAGAGAAATGGAAAAACTGAGGTCACCTAAGAGTAGCCACTTTTCTGTAGTATTTTGTGCAGGTCTGGAGTTTTATAAACTCTCATGTTCTCATGCTTGTGAGCTCTCCTGATCTTGTGTTCACTCTCCTCTGGCAGTTACCAGAAGCAAGAAGATCTCACCTGCCGCTCAGGTGAATTGGAAGTGATAAACTTAGCACTGATCCATGAAATATCACCCTTCTGCAGGTGTTTAGTGAATGCTAGTTCCTAGGCTGCAGCAGGGAGACTTCCTGGGCCTTGGAGATGATGTGCGAGCTGCAATGTATAGTTTGTATTTGCGTGAAGTGTATAGATGCAAGGACCTTTCGAGGAAGGAATGGCTGCCCATTAACAAGTATGGCCCAAATTTGAATTACAGCTGATTTCATCTGATTCAGAGGTTAAAGTCTGGAGAACTGTAATTGCTATACTGTTTTCCCTCTCCCTTTTCTAAAGTCAAACTTATCTAAGAGTTTTATATTGCTGCTTCTTATAATGTCCTTAAAGTTGGCCAACTAAGATAATATGTATAAGTTTCTAAATTTTTGTGATAGTAATTCACCCAAGTTAGATTTTGCTGAGAATTTTATCTTCAGGAGTGGAGATTAAGGCTTACTACTTTCAACATTTCATTCAACATTTAATATTTTCAATGTGCAACAGTGTATTTAGATATTTTGGATTGTGTTTTTGTCTTAGTAGTTTAGTTATTTTCTCATGGCTGCCCTTTTACTATTCTGATTTTGTTCTCAAAATGCAAGTTACAATTCAGTGTTGGTTTGGTTGTTACTGTATGTTACTGCTGTTTTGATATGGAACTAGCCTTGCAGTTACTGTGCAAACAGCATAAGCACTGACACTGTTCTGTCCTGCTCTGAACAAGCTGTCTGTTTGTGCAGGAAAGCAGTTTGTCCAGTGGCTGAAGTGTACCCTTCTTATTTGTCTTGCAGGAACGGGAGAGAGTGGCAAAAGCACGTTCATCAAGCAGATGAGAATCATTCATGGATCAGGTTACTCTGATGAAGACAAAAGGGGCTTTACAAAACTGGTGTACCAGAATATATTTACAGCAATGCAGGCTATGATCAGAGCCATGGATACCCTCAAAATCCCATACAAGTATGAGCACAATAAGGTGAGACTTTTGTGTATTTCCATTACTGAAGCTCTTCCTTTTTTTTTTTTTCCCCTTTCTTTTTTTTCTTTTTCTTTTTTTTTTTTTCCTTTTATCTTTAGAAAACATATGGAGGATCTCTAAAAACTATACATGGTGTATGACTTACGCTCTATTTAAAGTCTGGAAGAAAATAGCTTTTTGCAGTTCTCTACCCTTGGCACAGCCCTGACCAAACAGAAGAGATAGATGAGAGAACTCCTCCCATGTGTCTGTGGAATTTGTTGTGGGGAGAAAGCTAAGGGCAGGCTGGTGTTTGCCTATGGCTTTAGACTCTCTTTTTCTTCCCAACCCATCCTATGACCAGAGCACGGTCGAACCATCCTTGTCTTTTCCAGTGCTGCTTAGGGTTTGCCAATAATATTGCTTGGGAAAAAGTTCAAATTAATTGAAAAATAATTGGGGATATCTACTTGTATGTGAGACTTTTGATGCAAGACCTTAAGGCAAGAAAATTTGCTTTAGACTGATGGCATCACTGAAATTTAGGAGGAGAAAAACACATTGAAAGCATTTGACAAATCTAACTTCTTACCATTTTTTGTACTAGTCTATTTAAAGAAAGATAAAATATTTAAACCATTCCATGAAGGACAGTGAAGTGCTTAATATTTACTTGAATAGAAGGGAGACCTGCTGCATGGGAAGGCACAGAATTACATGGCTACATCTCCTGCTGCTTGCCATGGCAGTGGTGTATCTTTTGTTTGATAACAGGGGCGATTTTTAGTGTTGACAAATTGTCAGTACCTATGTCTGACAGCTTAAGTTCTCTCGTAAGTTTAGGGTTCACCATTCTTTGAAACTTGTAGAAGAGCATTTAGTTATTTTTGGATGAAAAAATATACTTTTTGGTTTTTGTTTTTAAGGACATTTAAAAAGTTGGAAAAACTTGTCTTAAATAGTAAATGAGAGAATGTTGAAATGAACTTCCTTATATTGACTGAATGCTGCAGCTGTTGGATTTCCTTTTGCCTCACTGAAATAAAAATCAAGTTTTTTTTAATTTTAAAAATTTATTTGTGTGTATTTCAGTATGCTATCTCCATGTTTTTGCTGTACATGGAGACACAATTTCTTGACATACTTGAAAAGTTGGTTGACTGTGAAGCACACATTTTTCTTCAAAATTGGTATAGACTGCTGTTTTGCTATAGCATCTAAAAGTCCAAATTATAAATCGGGATCTTTTTTTCTTGAATTTCATACTGTGGAGTACATGGTCTATAGTTACTATTCAATTTTTGTATTGGATTTATATAGAATGTTTTTATGTAATTTATAGAATGTTCTTTTTGTAGTCGAAGCCAGTTAATAAGATGTGGCATAGCTGTATATGCATAGTCAGACCTTCCTATTTAGAGCTGTTCACTTTCTCTGTGCAAGAGTAACTTTGCTGAAAGTGAGTTTATCCTTGCACTCTGCTGTTTAACAAGCATTCTCAGCAATTTTAGTAGGCCCACGTGTGGAATAAGGTAAAACTCCCCAAATAATAGGTTCTGGACCCAATTTCTTTAAGAATTCTGCCTGGCAATAGAGTGGAAAAGAAATATGCTATTCAGTCATGCCAGTCTACTGAGGACTACTTTTGTGCTTTGTACACAAAGTCACTTTAAAGCAGTAAACTTTATTTTTATTTTTATTTTTTTTTTAAAGTCTGTTGAAAACAAGCTCATTAGCCTGGCAGCCTAGAAAGCACAGGAAGGGCATTTCCTATTAATTTGAATCTCCTATCAGGAAATCCTATCTCTGGAGAGAACATCTCAAAGTTTGAGTAACAGTGTATTTTTAGCACTGTTTATTTGTTTTCCACAATAGTTTATGAAACTACAGTTCAAGCTGATATTGATGTGATTGCACCTAAAAATGATGGTAAAATGTCCCTTTTCTCTGCCCTCCCAAGTCTTCGTGTTCACGGCTAATTTGGGGGGTCATATTTTTGTCTTACTGTAAACTTCAGTAAAGAATCATTAAAATTGGGTTGTTTTTTAGTCTCTGAGTGCGTCTAGAATGTGAAGTAATATCTTGTCAAAAAGTGGTATTAAAATTTAGTGTCTCAGTGATGCTAGGGCATTGTATCAGGCAACACATTCTTGTTACACTGCAGGATATGAGCTGTGCTGAAGCTTAAGATAAGGGGTCAGCATCCCTTCTTTAAGGAATTTGTCATAGGAAATGGTGGCTAATTGTTTGGGTTTTGGTTTCCTTTTGGGTAAATGTTGTTATATTTTGTTGCTTATTTTTAACTAGAAGTTGTGAAGTTTTTATGGGCTGCTTGAGTTTTAGAGTGAAAAACATTTATCAAATGCAGAAGAGTGTTGGTTGTATATAGAAATGTGAACAAGCAGTTACTAAGATGACCACTCTTTGCAAAATTTTTGTGGGTGTACACAAGTCAGGCAAGCATAGACGTTCGTATTCACCTTTAAAAGATCTAAAATACAGGTTTATTTTTTATTTTTATTTTTTCTTGAAGTTTTAAAAGTCCCTATTTCTCCTTTTTTTTTTCTATTTTTTACGTGTCTTGGAAAAGCTGTTACAATTAAAGCTTTTCATGCTAATTAAGGCTTTTTCAGGATCATGACCCTTTGTTTTTCTTGATGTATACAACAATTAAAATTTGCATCCTTTTAGCTAAGCTAATTCATAGGTACAGTGTGATAATAAATTGCCCATATTTTGCCACTTTGGAGTGTTTCTAGAAAACTTTCAAAATATAAATTACGTGCCAAGTAGCTAGTGTGAAGAAGTTCCTGTATTTTTAGATATTTATTTGCTTACTTTCAAACACAAGCCCTGGCTGGAATACATATGCTGTCAGCCCTGCTGGTGTGCACCCAGGTAGGTGTTCTTGGTGCATGAGGAGGTTCTTTGCATCTTGCCTCTGGTCCTTGTCCAGCTGTTTTTTTGGACCAGCATCAAAAAGCCTTGGGTGAACCCGTCTGGACTCCAGGGCAGCACGTGTCGGGTGGCCGTGCTGGTGCCAAGAGTGTCAGCACAGGGGCTGCCTGAGCCCCGGGTGCCCCCGTGCGCCGTCAGCACCGCGTCGCGGCCGTTCTGACATGCGTGTTTCTGTTTGTCCAGATAAGCCAAAATATTCGAATAAAAATTATTAAAGACAGAGTAGAGTAAAGAGTAGGGCGGGAACTGGACCTCGTGTGCGTGCTGGTGTTGAGGTCTGTTTACTCGGTGGTGGTTACTTCTAAGGTAGCCCAGCACGTTGTTCTTCGCTGTTGCTTCTGCTCAACTCGGTGCTCGAGTTGTGGTATCACCAATAGTGGTACCAATTATTCAGGGCTCCATCACCAATCATGTAAAACAAGAACCTGCTGAGTACTAAGTAGACATTTAATACCTTTGGCACATGCCGGATGCACTAAGTAATCTCTCGGGTGGATAAACAGGATTTGTGCCTTGTCTGAGCATTCTAACAGGTGGTCTGACATAACAGACCTTTTCTGCAGTGTACTGCACAACTTTGGAGTGTAGATACAGGTAATATTAGCTGCTAAACTGCTTTTCAGGAAATAAAAGGAATATTTAGTTTGGATTGGAAGGTTGTTTTACTGTTACCAATTTTTATTAAGGGTAGGTATCATGATGATATGGCATGAAATATTCTATTTTCGTGTCTAAACCAGAACATGGCATGCTCATTTAAGATGATAAAACTGAAGCCAGAATAATCCACTGTACCAGCATCTGAGAGGTAAAATTATTTATTACAGACTCCTGTCACAACCAAATAGGACAATTCTTGTTGTCCTTGAGGAAGAACTTCTTTACTGTGAGGATGACAGAGCCCTGGAACAGGCTGCCCAGAGAGGCTGTGGAGTCTCCTTCTCTGGAGATCTTCAAACCCGCCTGGATGCCACCCTGTACGCTATTCTCTAGGTGACCCTGCGTGTGCAGGGGGGTTGGACTAGATGGTCTCTAGAGGTCCCTTCCAACCTCAACCATCCTATGCTTCTGAAGCATGTGGGTCTTTTTTTAATGTCATACCTGAAACCATTTAATCAGATAAAATTGTACACTGGTGCACAGAGGTATGTGTGCTGGGATAGATTTTTTTTTTTCTTTTGAAAAGCTGTTTGTATACTTTTTTGTATGTTTCCTTTGATGCGTCTATGCATTTCTTTAAAGCTGGTTCGATTCAAATTCTGGATTGGAAAAGGCCTTTGGAAAGCAGAAATCTCTTGCAGGAAGGCCTCAGTACTTTCTTTTTCCATAAAACGGGACTTTTCTGGGCTTCCTTTGTTTCTTTCTCTCCTTTCCTTTCTCTGTCCCTCTGGAATTTTTCTGTACTGCCTTGACCTTGGAAAAAGTTACAACTGTAAAGTAAAGAATTGAAAATAAAACCACTCAAAACAGTGCAAAAGTATACTGGGTGTTATAAAATATATTGCAGTCAGTAGTCTGCAAATAAAAATAAGGACAAAGGAAGAATAAAAAGTATTGATTTTTTTATATATATTTTGTGGAGCTTTTAATTTAGATGTGCAGTAACAATTTGAGGACGATAACTTGAACATTTATTCTGTCCTTAAAAAAGGGCTCATTTGTTTTTCTAACCACCTGTCCCTTCATAAACAGCTTGTAAAGCAGCTCTGCTGCTGCTGCAGAAAGTCAGCTGGTTCTGTGGTAATCAGGTAGGTGCCCTCAGAGCTGGACAGAGCATAAAATGGCGTTTTACAGAAGAGAAAGTTGGAGTTACTTATCTGGGCATGCAGGCTTGCTCTTGGGGTGGAAGGTGTTTAAGAATATGCATGGAGAAATGGAGGAATACGTGACTGGACAGACCTTTTTTCAAGGGCTTTCAAGAGACTAAGTGAGGGATTTATGCCTGGGGGAATATTGGAGCCTGCAGGTGGTTTCCAAGGATGGTTGTGAGGATTGGAAGGGATGCGTCGACTCGTGTAATCATGATAGTTGTAAAAGCGTGCTGCTTCTCAGCTATCCTG